TTTATTCAAATTCAACAATATGTGAGTGAAATCTTGTCAGTTTTACCATTTAGGCTCTGTTTATTAACCAGCTGTCTTGTGTTAAGTTATCCGCGCGTCCTTGTTTTTGATGTGCTGGCTGGAAAGAATGCTGTGCCAAGCTCCATTTAAAAAAATAGAGAATTAAGGTAGTGCCGTTGTTATAGCCAAAAAAATGATTCCTATTAATGCTTGACTGAAACAGTGTGAGTTTATAGTATCCTCTGAAAAAAACGGCACACATTTAATCAGCCATTTAACTCTGGTTTCGTGAAAAATTGAATCTCTTTGCCTGCTTACGCTAGGATTGTTTGTATCTTCATAAAATATATTCCTATTCTCCTAGAACAACTATTATTGACGAAGCATAAAACTAACTGTTGTTTGTCTGTTTTGTTCAACAGCAACCTGGACCCTTTGACAGAAACTGTATCCTTCATATTCAGATGGAAATATCAGCTAATCTGTCATTTCACATGTGACTTAATAAGTCATATAATTCTCTTTTATTAGGTCTGGTTATATTATCTGATCACATTTAATATACACTCAGTTGTCAGTTTAATAAGTGGATCAAGTAGTCTGTAGTTGGTGCTGCTGTTGAGCTGTAGTGTGTTATACAGAGGGGTGTTTCTAATATCTGTATGTTTTATATGTAACAGAAGTCTGTAGTTTTCTTTAACTCTTCACCTCCAGTATGGGATCCCATTTTACCTCCAGTACCTCGCCCACTGGCCGGAGTACTTCATCGTTGCTGAGGCTCCCGGTGGTGAACTGATGGGCTACAGTAAGTCCTCTTGTCAGATTTTAATATTTTATTGCATTTGATGGTTGAGTGGTGGTGAGATTGTCCCTTTTTAATAAGAGAATTTAACTTTGCATACTTCACTTAACCCATTTGTTTTCATTCTATGCACTTGAAGGTTTTTTTAAATACTTTTGTTGTTGGCAAGAAAATAAATGTCCTTTTTGTACCCATTCCGTAACTAATTCTGTTTTAATCATGGTATATCAAGGCAATATACAAAAACTGTAGACATAACAACAGACCATAAAAGCCTTGGCTATGCATGCTTTTCGAAAACAACATAGGTATAAAAATAATTAAAATAATAAAGTAAAGAATAATGTCATACGTAGGAAGAAAGAATAAACCAGATCCATCCTCCTCCAACACATGTATTGTAGTGAACATCAAGTCTCCCTAGGAGGTACAACATGGTATTAATCGAGTACACACAGAGTACACAAGAGTTAAAGTATTACACATAATCAACAGTAGCCTTACAGTAAATTAACAGGTCACTTTTATGTTACTCAAACAATGTAAGATCAATAATAAATGGATTACATACAGATAATGGTCCAAAAGATGGTTGCATTTGGTTAGTTTGGTCACAGATCTGGGGGTCTATGTGGACTGTGTGAATGAGGAAACAAACAGGAGGGGGGGGGGACACAGAGTCAGTTACCATGGTGAACTGAAAAGTTTCCCCTCGACTCAGGGTTAACAAACTAAACCTCTTTTTTTCTAGGCACAGACCCCCAATGATGTAACAATGTCACTTAAACTACCGTTGCTATGGAACTGTGCCGGAAGTGGTTGCTACTAGCAACAGAATGTTCCAACCGCTGGTGGCAGAATATTTAGAATTCTGGAACCATTTATCTCTTCTATCTCCAACTGTACGTGACGACAAAGCAACGTCAACAAAACATATATTCACGCAGAATCCGCACTCAACAAGTATAATGTTCCCTGGGAGAAAGAATAGAAATAAGTAAATGGGATTTTAAACATGAATTCAAAACTGGGGAATGACTTTATCGCCATCTGGTGGTCAGTCGATATGATGACATGTTAATCGTAAAGAGTCTCATGAAGTACAGTCTTCTAAACATTTACTGTCTCATAAATGTTAAACATTTCATGTGTATTGCCCTTTGGAAATATGTTTCTGTTCTTATCAAATTGCTCATTAAAAGCTGCATGAAGTGTCTCATATGAAATGCTCTATTACGCTTTAAAAATACTGAATCATTTGAAAATAATTTCATTATTAAGGTGAAAGGAAGAACATCGGATTTCAGATTTGAAGTGAGCTGTCTTGGTTTATTAATCTAACATAACAGCCACACATTTTACTTTATCAGCATACTATTTTATGTTTTTTTTTTCTTCTTTTTTTAGTTTAGTAAAATAAATAAATAATAAAGCTCATGTGACTCTGACTCTCACGGCTGACTCGTTGCTTGCTTGCAGTCATGGGGAAGGCGGAGGGATCTGTGGCCCGGGAGGAGTGGCACGGTCACGTCACCGCTCTGTCTGTGGCCCCTGAGTTCAGAAGACTCGGCCTCGCTGCCAAACTCATGGAGATGCTGGAGGAAATCTCAGAGAGGTTTGTACCATCGTATTCCAGAGTATACAGCCCATACTGGACAGTAACAACACAATGTTGGAATGATATCTGAAGGAATATCCCAAATTCAAATTTAGTTTAAAAAAGTTAAAATCTGCAAATACTGGAACAAAAATATATTTAATTTAAGCAGAGTGTGCATGCACAGCTTTTTGAGATTAGGTTGTGTTAAGATGTGGGAAACAAAAATGTGTAAGATCCCTAAAATCTGATTAAATTTTATTCTAAACTCCAAATTTTCTTGAATTCTTTCTAAATTTAGTTTTTCTTTCTACATTTGTCCATCAGCTCTCAACCAAAATTACAAAAATATCAGACATATATTCCCCCTGCTGTGAATGTTTGACGATCAGTGCCCAGGAAACATCACAACTCTTTTTCAATACACATTTCCCTCAATGCATGATGGGGTTTTAAAGCTTTTTGTGTTCAAATTCCCTCAACACATCAGTACTCTTTGTTCTGATACTTTTATTCTGAAAATCACCTTCTTTGCAGTAACAGATGTTGTTGAGGTTTAGGAGCTGAAGGAAGTTATTTCACCATCATGGAGGGCTTGCTGTGACTTTTAATGTCGTCTTGTAGGAAGGGCGGATTCTTCGTGGATCTCTTCGTACGAGTCTCCAACCAAGTGGCGGTGAACATGTACAAACGTCTGGGCTACAGCGTCTACAGGACGGTGATCGAGTATTACTCGGCTAGCAACGGAGAACCTGATGAAGACGCCTACGGTGAGAGGAGTTGTCAAAACGGAAACCAGACAATTAGTGAAAAAATATTTCTAATATATATCCCCAGGTTGTCGAGTACAGATGCCAGCGGAGTTTAGTTAGTTGCAATCTGCAACTTCACCGCTAGATGCCATTAAATTATTCACACTGGTCCTTTAAATCACCTGTTGAGTGGTAATGTAACTGAAAGTACTGATGGATATGAAACATCTAACACTGTGGTGCGTTCAGGTGATGTGTGAAACTTGAGTCGTCACCAAACACTCAAAAGCTACTGAGCTCCTGAAACTGAAACCAAAATAACCAAATATAATAGTGAAGGGATCATGTGACTCTTGCATTAAAGACTGCTCAGCAGACTCATTTATTCCACCATACTGTATAGTATGTCAAATGCAGTACGCTAAAAATACCAGGGTATTCTACTGCATCCGTACTTTGAAGTATGCAAGCCAGACAGATGTAATTTTACTGTCGCGAATATAATGCTGCATGTTGCATACAGTACAAAGTAACAACAGCAGAACTCTTTGGTGAGCTCGGCAAATAGTGTTTTGTTGTTTCTCCTCTCCAACTGTAGTAACCCGTTCCAAGTAGCATACTTTTTCAAATTTGACAGATGTACCAGGAAAAGGCTTAAAATTTAGGGTGTAATGTTATGAAGAAGTAGTATGTCCCAATTGTAATATTACTGCATTAAACAGTATGTACTTTTTAAGGGCAGCTGCAGCACAGAAAGTGAAAAGAAAAAGTGTAATCTGGAAAGCAGCCTCAGACTATGGCCACACTAAAACACAGGGCTGGCATTTTGGGAAAGCTTTGTTTTTAGGGGTTCTCAAAAAAAAAAAAAAAAAATCCAGGTTTGTGTCGATAAACTGATTCAGCAGGGTTGGTACAGATGTAGTCTGAGGTCTCGTACAGTAGTTGGTTCCATAAAGTACAGCAAGTGAACACAGTGGAGGTGGCGGTCTGAGAGAACCTTAATTAAATATCTTGAATGTCAGTGTTCAGCATTTAAAGGGCCAAGTTAACTCAAATTATAAACAATGTTCTTACCTACCTTTAGTTGTGTCCATGCCTGCAAATAGTTTGGTTTTGTTAGATGTCTGCTTACCTAATACAACAGAGGTGAATGGAATTTAGTTTGTGTTGCTCAACGTATTTAAAGAATTCAACACCAACATTTCTTTTTGGGGAAACAACATCCTGGTGTTTTCATTGGAACTGAATAAATAATCTTCTGTTGAGGTTCCTTTTGAATTTTCAAAGTTTTGAGCAGCACAGATACAATTTTATCAACCTCAATTGTACTGTGGCTTCAGCAGAAGTTTCAGAAAACTTGGACAAATAAAGCAAAATCCACTGGAGGTAAACTCACATTTTACTGTATTTCGATGACTTTCAATTATCACACTCCACTTATCAAACTCCAGAGCATTATAAACCAATTCTGTGCTGCAGAGTCATATGGCTTAACTGACTATATATTCTTTCCCTCTCCCTGCAGATATGAGGAAAGCTCTGTCCAGAGACACAGAGAAGAAGTCGATCATCCCGCTGCCACATCCTGTCAGACCAGAAGACATCGAATAACAGTAGACTGTGGCTCTCTGACGCTCTGCTGTGTGTCCTGATAATCACATGTGAATTATATGTAATTACAGGTCTTGCTCGGTTACATTGTACATAGTTAAACTGCTCATCATTTCTCAGTGCTTAGTCAGAGAGCCACTGGTTGTACACATTTTTAATTTCCTAACTGATCGGATACCCATTTATTTCCTGTAAATTCTACATTAACCTTTGCTAAAGAAGTAAGACAACAAGCGAGTTTGAATTGATGTATGTATAATGACACAGTGGCAAAGAAAACATGGTCATACAATAAAGACTGCCTGTGAGCTGGGTTTGTTGTTTTTGTTAAAAAAACAGATCAGTAGAAAAATCAATCCAGGATGGACTCTTGTCGCAGAGCGGGGGACAAAAACATAAATCTAATCTTTATCTTTATCTTCATCTCCGCTCTTGTTCTCTTTCTTCTCTTTCACCTCCTTCCCTCCATCATCTTTATCATTACTGTCACTCTCACTACTGCTGCTGCTATCATCATCATCTCGGTCGTCGTACGTCTTCTCCTGTTCTGTTTCTGACGCAGTGTTTCTGTCGGAGTCGTTTTTCTCTGCCATGTTTTCAGAAGGAGCTGCAGGGTCGTCGGAGGACGCCGGCGATGTCATCTCTTCAGCCGCCGGAGATTTTTCTGAAACCTCCCTGTCCTCTTCCACTATCTGCTGCCTCTTCCACATCTTCGCCATGGCCAGCAGTTTGAGGTTGGGCTGGTTGGCGGCGTCCTCTGGGAAGATGTAGTCGTAGTACTCCTCCCAACCTGCGTCCGACTGAAAGAATCAGGAACAGATATTGTGATTAATACCTGTAACAGGCTGAAACTAAGACTTTATTAAATGAGTCAATGTGTCTTTAAAATGTAAAACCCAGAGATATTCAGTTTACAATCATATTCAAATACTCATATTTTAGAGGCTGAAACCAAAACAGGTTTATTTTTCTTTGATAAATAACTTAAAAAATACATTACCAAGCTTTATTGGCATGGATATAATTATAAAACCATATTGCCAAAATACTCTAAAACCTCTATAGGTTCCCCATCAGATCAATGCAAGACTAAGATTTTATCTTAAATAGGGAAATCTTTCAAATTTTAACCAGAACGAGACCTCCACACTGCAAATGACATTCTGTTGCGTCTTCAATATGACATCACAGTGCTTTGTTATAAACCGGTTTGCTCCTCGACGTCCAGTTCTTACCCCGTCCTCGGCCGTCAGCTTTCTCCTCTTCTTCACCTTCTCCGGCAGCAGATTCCTGACCCTCTCCATGGTGGTGTCGGAGCCAAACTCTTTCTCAAAGTCGCTCCAGGACTCGAGCAGCATCAGCCGCTCCTCCTTCTCCTCGCAGTTCCTCATGCTCTTGTTGGCCTCCTCAAAGATCTGCCGGCACCTCTGCAGCCTGTCGCTGCTGTCGATGGATAACTCAAACTTGGCGTAGCTGATCCAAACCTGCACCAGAAGAGGAGGAGTCACATCTCAGTGTAATGACATGGTTGGTTCATTAAGAAAATTGGGATCAGAGTTTCAAATCTTTCTCAGATTGGAAAACATTTTTTTTTCAGATTTTTAATGAGCACAGAAAGCTAAAATGCAGTTCTCACCTTGACATGCTGGGTGCGCTGCAGCAGCCTTTTGTAAAGGTTTCTGGTGTTTCCAAACTCCTCCTGCTCAATCTCAAAGTCAATGTAGGACTTCCACAGCACCTGAAAAGATGACAAAAAAAAAAGTGTTGTGCTGCGCTGACATGGATTCAGGCAAATGGTAGACAGCGAAGCGAGCAGGATAAATCCCAAAGCCCCTCCACTAGATGGTGCCAGTGTTTGGTTGAAGAGATCGTTTATCAATACCTCTGGCATGTCCAGTCGTGGCTGTCCGATGGCGAGTTCGAAGATGCCTCGGGCTCTTTCCATGTCTCCCAGGATTGTCTCCAGCTCTGCGAACTTGATCCAGGTGGTGCAGTTCTCCGGACTGAACTCCAGGTATTTCTCGTACAACTTCCTGCAGCGGTCAAACTCACGCAGCTGCAGCTCCAGCTCGATGTAGCCCTTCAGCAGCTTGTTCTTCGGGCATTTACCGATCGCTGTACCCTGAGAAGAGAAACAACAATGATCATAGTGTATTGTGTGCCCTCCTGAAAAATGGATTTGAATCTCAATGAAACGTTTACGTGGTTAAAGAAAGGAAAATTAAAATAGAGAGACAGTGCAGAAAACATTTATGTAAATGTAATACAGTTAATATCAGAACAGATTAAACTCTAATAAACCTTTAGACTGACTAAAAGTATGCAAGTATATATTTTGACAACCCATCAGTTCTGGTGAATCTTACCATGACCTTTCTGGCTCCCTGCAGGTTCTTCTGTCGGATCTCAAACTGAGCGTATAGCAGCCAAATCTTAGCAAATGTGAACTGAAATGAAAACATAAGATTATCGGAATCTGGAAACAAGACTTTAACTATTATATCGACTATACCAGCATTCTGTTTTAGTTCAGAGACACTAGTTTTCTCTTAAATGTAAGAAAAACAAAACAAAACAGAATCATTCTAAGAAAGGGCAAAAATCTAAATTACCTTTTTATGCGGGATAAGATCCAGACAGGCCTGGTACACCTGTCGTGTTCTCTCAGGATCCTGACAAAAAGATAAAATAATGAATAAATGTACATCTAACATAATTAGCAGAGCTTATCGTTGATTTCTCATTTGTTTTTCTTTGGGATGGCATCTTAATTCATTAGAAAATAATTGCAGGTCATATTTCTAACTCTAACTGATTCCTCTCTCCTTAGTTTCTTGAAGGGAAATGAAAGTTGATGATGATAATGATGAAGAAAAGCGAGTGAACCGACCTTGACCTCCAGCTCTTCGTACAGAGAGTAGTTGATCCACAGGTAGATGTATCGTTTCCAGTGTCTCTTCTCCTGGATGGGGGGGATGTTGGCGATGGCTCTCTCATAAACCTCTCTCACTGTGTCGGGGTCAGCGTCGTTCTCCACCAGGCGGAGGTAATCAAACCATGCGTCATAGTTGTGTGGGTTCGCCTGATAGAAAAATGTCAGTGAATAAGGGAAGTAACTTTTATGTCTGTTTGAGTAGAAAAGGAACACTAGATCACTGGTAGGCTAACTAAACAGTTATTTTTAGCTATTTTCAAATTAATTTGCACCTGTGCTTTCAGTTAGAATATTGTACTTTTCTCTTAAAACAGGGAAGGTAACATAATGTCACTTGTTTTAGGTCAGGTTTATTTGTTTCATGGGGATTATCGTTTATTAGTGTGGATGAAAACATCGTTATTGTTATACTAATTGTTCTTCGTGTGAATGGCCCTAAACCTAAAAGGCCATTCACGTTATGATATCAGATTAATTGTTATATAACTAAATCTTACCATTAATTCATGTGAATCACAGATTCTGATTTTTATAAATATAGATTTTCCACAACTTCCTATTGTAAATACCTTGACTTCCTCCTCGTACTGGAACCTTCGCTTGCTGACGATGACGTCCTCGATTCCCCTCCGGTCTCCGAACTTCTTCTCGAACATCGTGTAGTACTTGAAGAGCTCTTGTGCCTGATGTTTAGGGATTCTGTCCAAAGCATACTTATAGATCACCCGAACACGTTCAAACTGTAAAGGAAGGGACATTTCATACGATCAGTCATTCAACAAGTTTGATTACGAAGCAATGAATGAATTGATACAATATGTTACAGGTTAGTTTTGTTCTATACTGAGTTGCACAAACCTCTTTCTGCGTCTCTTCAAACTTGGCGAAGGCCACAAAGAGGTTTTCATCCACATGTTCCTCTCCGAAGAACTCCACCGCCCTCTCGTACACCTTCCTGCTGTGAGCAATGTAGCCATGCTTCTCCTCAAAACGAGCATACTTGATCCAGTTCTTCACTTCGGGGTGAACCATGACGAGTACAGCGGAGTTAAGGAGTTTTTATATAACAAATGTCATCAAAATACAAAGACTGTCACAGATGTCTTCTTTTGGTGCGTCTGTTCAGAGTTGAGCTAAAATAATGAGGTTAGGTGATTGAGGGATTAGTCAAGCCAAAGTAAATTAGTCAGCAACTATTCTGATTATCTATTTTGATTAATTGTTGCACTTCTACAAAATATATTACAAAGATTTTAAAACAACACAAAACATTATCTAGTTCCAGTTTCTCGAAAGTGATGATTTACTGCATTTCTCAGTTTTATAACATTGTCCATTGTGGCCAGGGAAACAGTGATGAGCATTTTTCACAACATTTTATAGTATCTAGTATTTTTTTCTTCATTATATACCGGGAAAAAAAAGTTTCAACATATATGCCGATACCCCTACGTCTGCTTGTTTATGCTTATAGCTGGGTGCCTAAATTAACTTTCAACAGTCTTTGAGGGAGGACCATAATGTGCCTCCTTGTGTGTGTTTTCGTATCAGTTTTTCGTACAGTCACTTTCCCGGTACAGTCCTTGTTACTGCAGCCATATGTCTCCTATGATGAACATGAAGTCAGAGACCCCTCATCTCAGAGTGGGTTATTACTCAGAACACGACACTTGAAAACACAATCAAAAGGATATATCGCTCATAAATGGTGCGAGCTTTGTCCACCTCCTTGTAGCGGAGCTCAAAGTTGATGTAGGAGTGCCAGGCCTGCTCGTCAGGCTCCCATTCCATCCAGCGCTCAAACACCTGCCTGCAGCCGGCCACGTTGCCCAGCATCTCCTCCATGTAGGTGTACTTGTACCTTTCACAGGACAAAAAGTAAAAACATAAATTAAACAGAGGCAGACTTTTGGATAGTCATGTATAAAAATAAAAGAAGGCTACACACCAAAGACTCTCTCGCATACATTTTTAAAGCTTTTCGAGGTTTCAAACACACATTCTAAATAGATCAAAGTGTTCTGTTTCCTGCATTTTCTAATGTAAACAGCTAATCACCTGTTTCCTAGCAATGCAATCCAATTAATAAAATTATCTACAATACATTTTAGGAGTCCATTCCTCCAACTTTTTCTGTCTGTAAATGTGAAATGATGCTACAAACTACAACGTCTGATTTATAGGCTTGTATGTTACAATACGTCCAACCTCAGACAAATTGATTTCTTTTATTTTTAGTCTTTTAACTCTAAACACTCATTTTGTTATACAACCTTGTGTTGTATAATGTTTGATTTTTGCTGTTTGCTCCTTAATAAAATACATTTCCCACTGGTCATTACCAGAAGAAGCCAAGGCAAATGTTGCTGTATGCTGATGTAATTCGTACCAGAACTGGTTGACTCGTGGGAGGATGGTGATGGCTCTGTCCCAGATGTTGCGGGCATGGTTCACCTGGCGGCTCTTCATCTCCATCTCGGCATACTTCAGCCACAGAGTGATGTTGCGGTGATCGACATCCAGCGCTCGCTCGTAAATGGAACGAGCCCTGAAATCAGAGGAAGCATTGATGAGGGAAGATTATACAGCAGGTGTGGAGGACTGTTAAACAGGCAAAAGGTACCTACAATATCAAAATGGAAAGTTTGGGTTTTTGTTTTTTTTTTTCAAAAAAACCTGACTCCTCCAATGGCAAAAGGCTAATCACCAGCATGAAGCAGTGGTACAGAAGGTTACACATACAAGTTTGTCACTAGAACATTATTATTTTAGTTGAGAAAAACTGTGTGGACAAGCAAAGAAAGTCCCTCCTGTCATGATGTACCTGAGCAAAGCAATGAAACCTTTGCAGCCACCTACACTGACATTCTAGGTTTTTTTCCTACTATAGAATTTCTAAAACTGCAGGAAAAAATGATTTTGTAGCAAAAGGCACAATACCTCAGGATCTCCTTCAGGCTTTCCTCCCATTGTGCGTATTTGATCCAGTTACTGATGACCGTGCGATTCTTTCTGATGTTGTCCTCAAACCCCTGAAAGAAAAGACGGACAATAGTTCGACAAAAAGTAAAAGAAAAAAGAAGTTTTCTTGAAGATGGTTAACTCGTGGTTTAATTGTATCTCTCACTGGACAAGAAATTATGTTAAAACGTGAGTAAAAAAACTCTGAGGAGCATGAATTGGAGATTTCACACATCTGCAAACTGCAATACTGCATAATTACATCAAAACATGCCGTCAGTGGAGAAAATGAGAAGTAAGCACTTACCTTTCTCTTCTTGAGTTTATAATCATTCAGCTCCTCCTCATCGGTGATCTTCTGTTTCGGCGGTGGTGGCAGAAGTTCAAGCTCCCTCTCTTTGGCCTCCCTCAGCAGCTGCTCAGCAGTGATCTGAACCTCTGCAGGAGCTTTATTCTTCACCTGAAATACAAGAAGTTATTTAACATGTTGTCGCTCCAGTCACGAGCATAATGTCTTGATGTTCTTTGTGTCTTAATGCTGAATATACTTAACCTGTTAACTGTGCAAACCAAACCAAACTTCACTGAATAAACTGGGATTATTTTAGAGGTAACTGGGAGCCAGCAGCACACGTTGAATATTTTACATTCTACATTCAGGGTCCAACACCAGCTCCCAGTGAAACAGGTATGTTGAACTGCTGTTGTTGTTAAAGTGATACAGGTGAGAATTAAGATAAATTCCAGTTCATGTTTTAGTGCACATTACATGATGTTTGAGGGCTTCACTTCAAGCTTCAAGTATTTTTTGTGGCAGAAATAATCAGAGAGCATTGGAGCGTAAACAATTCACTTTGTTTGTAATGTTTAATTTAAAATGTTATAATTGTGTACATATGTTGCTTAACATAAGGTGCTTTATACATCCAGTATTACTTCTCCTCCTCCTCCATACTACTACACTATGCAGCACTGCCAACTCAACTTAATGTCTATGCAATGTTTATGACATTTGTGTAGATGTGTTTGTCTAACTAACGATTACATTGATGTGATTCGCACTTTTGGAGAAGGGTTGTAGACAAAAAACATGAATAAAACTGGTAAAAAAAAACCAAAAGCAGCATGGTGGAGAATATTTATAACAGCTAATATAGCCAACAACTCAGGTAGGGAAGGAAAGTGAGTGTAACAGGCGGTAAAGGGTTTCCGTGTGGCCACCATAATATATTTTAATGCACATTATTACCCGAGATTACGAATGTGAAGATATAAAAGCCAACATCCACTCTATCTTTTAGCATTAGCTTAGCCGCAGTCAGCTCATGGCTCCGGCTTTAGAGTCGTTGTTCTCTTTTACCTTCGCCACCTTCGGGATCCGCTGTTTCCCTGCCGCGGTGGAAGCCATTTCACCGGCAGCTGTGTCCAAAAGTTACCGAGCTAACTTTGAAAAAATGTTCCGACAACTAAAAAGAGAGTTTGTGAAACGTTTTGTGTTCACATCCACCGCCAGCCACCATGACAGTACCCGGCAGGCCTTGCGAGTAGAGTTGGGGGCGTTCACGAACGAACCGACTCTATTGAACGGATCTTTAACTTGAACGATGGGAACCGAGTCGCAGTTGA